TGCAATGACTGACTTGATCTTGGCGAGATAAGCTATCATGGAGGGTTCTTTGGCCTCATAGCTGCCGCTGATCTGATATGCAACTAGCTGAGAGTCTGTTTTCAGGCAGACATGATCAGCTTCCAAGGAGATGCACAATTCTAGGCCAGCGATTGCTGCCTCATATTCGGCTTCATTATTCGAGGCCTTAAAAGAAAATTTTAGTGCATACTCAAAGGATTTGCCTTCGGGAGAAGTTATCATTACTCCTGCCCCCGAACCGTTTTCGGTGGAAGATCCATCCGTAAACACGGTCCAGACTTTCTTTTCATTGTCTAGCGCTTCTTGGTATGAGCATTCGGCCAAGAAATCCGCTAGAGCTTGAGCCTTAATGGCAGCCCTCGGACGGTAGCTGATGCTGAATTCGGTGAGCTCAAATGCCCACTTGGCTAGCCTACCAGATTTTTCAACTTTGCCGAGAACTTTTTCCAACGGCTGATCAGTTAAGACCACTATCTGATGGCAATCAAAATAGGGTCTCAGCTTCCGAGCAGCTACTACTACCGCGAAAGCGACTTTCTCGAGTAAAGGGTAGCGAGTCTCGGCATCCGTCAGTGTATGACTGACGAAGTAGATCGGTTGCTGACTTTTACTTTCTTCCTTCAGCAATACTGCGCTGATGGTGGCTGGGCTAACGGCCACATACAGGTACAAAGTTTCTCCTTCAGCTGGGCTAGCCAGCGTTGGGAGTTGAGCCAGATGCTCCCGAAGCTGTTTAAAGGCTTCTTTTTGCTCTTCCTCCCAAACGAGCTCTTTTGTTTTCGGGAGTTTCAGGGCTTTGAAGAAAGGTAACCCCTTATCCGAAGCTCTTGAAATGAACCTCGAGAGGGCTGCCATTCTTCCGGTGAGCCGCTGAACATCCCGCTTCGTTTTCGGCTCAGGAAGGTCGAGCGCCGCTTTGACTTTGGAGGGATTGGCATCAATCCCCCTTTTACTGACCATGAACCCAAGGAATTTCCCTGACTTCACACCGAAGACACACTTCTTCGGATTCAGCTTCATTTGATGTTTTCTCAAGGTGGCGAAAGTTTCAGCCAGGTCCTTTACATGGTCCTCAAGTTTTTTGCTCTTGACGATCGAATCGTCGACATAGACTTCCATGTTTCGGCCCTTTTGATCGGAAAAAACTTGATCCACCAGCCTTTGATAAGTTGCCCCCGCATTTTTCAATCCGAAGGGCATCATTTTGTAATTGTACACCCCAGCGTTCGTGACGAATGCTGTCTTTGCTCGATCGTCGGGGTGCATGAAGATCTGATGATACCCTGAGAATGCGTCCATGAAACTAAGCAAGGCATGGCCACTTGTCGAATCGACTAGCTGATCGATCCTCGGCAAGGGATAGAAATCCTTCGGACAAGCCTTATTTAGGTCCGTGAAGTCAACGCACATCCTCCAGGTACCATTAGGCTTCTGAACCATCACCACATTTGCCAGCCATTCTGGATATTGGCAAGGTTCGATGAACCCTGCCTCCAGCAATTTTTTGACCTCGGCTGCGATGTCTCGGTTCTTATTAGCGGAATAATTCCGCTTCTTTTGCTTAACTGGTCGACACGTTGGGTCAACATTAAGCTTATGGGAGATAAGGTCTGAACTTATCCCGGGCATATCAGCTGCCGAGAAAGCAAACACATCTCTGTTGTCCCGAAGGAGATGAATAAGTTCACAACGGGTGTTTGGATCAAGGTCCATCCCGATTGTTACACATTTCTCAATGTCTCCTTCGGCCAACTCAACTGTTTCAGTCTGCTGGTCCATGTCCATTGCTGATGGACTGGACTCTTCATAATCTGGCCTGCTGCCAATGTCAGCAGGTGTCCCAGTCTTTTTGTTCATCGGCTGGCTCTCTGAGTCTTGCGGCTCAGCTGAAGAGCTAGCCTTTTCCCTTTCGGGCCCTTTTTCTCTGGGCACAGATCCTTGGGCCGAAGCACTTAGGCCTTTCGGCTTTTTTGTGCTTGGCTCTCTTTCTTTTTCTTTCTCCTCCTCATCCTCGTCGTCATCTGGGCGACTACTGGATGGCTTGAGGTAGTTGCACCTTCGGGCGTCCTTTTGGTTGCCCTGTATCCTTTCGGGGAAGCCGGCGTCTGAGACGTAAATCATCAGCTGATGATAAGTTGAGACGACCCCCTGGATCTCATGAATTATGGGTCTCCCCAGAATCACGTTGTACACTGAAGGAGCGTCAATGACCAAAAATTCAATCATGACGTTCCTGGCTGCCTCGTCGCAGCCAATGGTGACAGGAAGTGTCACCTTCCCATCTGGATAAGTTGATGCCCCATTGAACCCGGATACCGGGTAGGGTACCGGCGTAAGGTGCTTGGGCTTCAACTTGATTTGATTGTAGGCCTTTCGGAACAGAATGTTTGCTCCGCTGCCACCGTCAACAAGGACCTTACTGACGTCGTGGTTGGCCACCGTGGCGATGATCACCAACGGATCCTCGTGAGGGAACGCTATCCCCCGGCAGTCGGCGGCTGTGAATGTCATGTTCGGCACCGGCGACTGGGGAGATTGAATATCAGCGTTGTTCACCTGGTGAGTCAAAGCTCTAAGGTGTCGCTTGTGTTCCCTCCGAGAATATGTTCCTCCCGAGATAACATTGATCGGAGGGAATTTCCCTTCCGGCTTTTTACTGTTCTTCCGGGGGAAGTCAAGGTCTTGCCGAGAGTCCTTTGCTGACTTCTCGTATTCTTTTTTCTCGCGGTGATCCGCGATATATTTTTTCAAGTATCCCTTCCGGACCATGTCCTCTATCTGGTCCTTCAGTTGGATACACTCCTCAGTGTTGTGTCCCGAAGACTCGTGGAACTCGCACCACTGATTTTTATTTTTTCGCTGATACCACTCTGGAAGTGGTCTCGGCTTTTGGTAACTCTGCTCCCCCTTCGTCACGCTGTAAATTTTAGCGCGTGGAAGAGAGAGCGGAGTGTAGGACTCGTATCTGCCTGTGTATGAGGCAGATCTTTCCTTCCTTGGGTCGCTGGCCGAAGATTGCTCCGAGGCCTTTGACTTTCCCTTTGCCTTATGGCCTTGGCCTTCAGACAAGGGTATTTGTCTCTGTTTCCCTCCCTCGAATTGAGGTTGGGTTCTCGCTTTGTTCCATTCTTCAGCTCGGATGAACTTATCCGAGGCATGAAGAGCTTCCTCCAAGGTCTGCGGGGTATGCATGACCATGAAGTCTAGGAACTTTCCGGGCTGAAGGCCATTCTGCATTGCGAAAACGGCTAGACCCTGGTCCAGCTGAGAGATGCTGGATGACTCGTTACTGAAACGGGTCAGATAGTCTCGGAGGCTTTCAGTTTCCCCCTGCTGCAGATTCATGAGTTCTGCAGTAGTCTTCTCTCGGCGATTAGCCGTGGAAAACTTGCTCCTGAATTTGGAGGACAGATCATCCCACCCTGTTATGGAGCCCTGCTTTACTCCCTTGGAGATCCACGCTTGCGCGACCCCCTTGAGAGTGGTTGGGAAATATTTGCACCAAGTCGCTTCGGACCTGGGGCAAAGATGCATATGAGTCTCATACGAGGCCACGTGATCCTTAGGATCCGAGGTCCCGTCATATGTGATGTGCGACGGTATTTTAACCGTGGGCACACACTCTTCCAGTATCCATTGCTCGAATGGTGAACTGGCGGGAAGCATAACGGCCTTACCCTTGTTCCTGGCCGAAGGGACCGCGCTCCGCCCTCTTAGAGAGGTAGAAGTGGTTTTCGTCCCTGGCTGGGAAGTCTGGGCCTCGGCTGCAGGGAACGAGAGGCGACTGCGCACGCTCGGTTCCTTGCCGCCGAGTCGGTCGAGGACGCTTCGGCGAACAGTCTCAGGTTCTCGGTGAGTGGATTCTGGCCGAGAAGCTGAGCTGCTGCTCTTATGCGTTTCTGGTCGGGAGGTTGAGGATCCTTTGAAAAATTGAGGGTTCTTTTTCCTCTCTTTTTCAGTTTTCCAGGAATCCTCCTCCCACTCTTCCAGTTCCCGGAAGGAAGGAAGCTTCCCACCATCATGATCTAACTTCCTCCGCTGATGCCGGGTATGCGGAGGAGTTCGATCACGAGGTGGTGGCATATTTTGTGCCCTCATCGCCTCCATGAGTACTGCCAGCGCTCTCGCCACCTCTTCCGAGCTGGGCCCCGTCAAAGGGGTCCTTGGCTGAGTGTGGGAATGAGAGCGCACAGTTGATGGTTGGCTTTGGGGCACTGAATGTGTCCTATGATCGGACTCACCCCTGCTAGACCGAGAGTGACTCGGTCTCTCATGAGAGTTATGAATTACGGGAGGAAGGGAATCCTCCCTGTATGATCCTCCCCCGAGCTGGCACCCATGGGAGGGTTCCAGTCCGGCGAAGGTGATGGTGTAGGAGTCTTAGGCTTTTCGCCCGCTCCTTGACGGAGGCTTTTGCTCTTGCGGTTCTTAGCCATTGCTGCTAAGATATTTGCAAGATGATCAAAATTGGCTTAAAGATTTTTGAAAGTCTTCCCCACAGACGGCGCCAAATTGTTTCGGATGAAAACAATGGGACCTTGCCGAAGGTCCACTGAAATGGAGAAGACTGGATTCGGTCCAATGTATGTTGGGCCGAAGGTTTCCTGCACAGTAAACACACGTAAACTAGCCTCGGGGGTGTTGCCGAGGAAGGCCCCTCCGATGCTAAAGTCAGTACAATGTGTTAAGGAGAACACTATGCAAGAGAATTTATTGCTTGAGGCTTTTGTGTAATATCTCAGAATGTATGAATGAACATCTGTGTATGTATGAGTATTGAAGGCTTTTATACCTCTTCATAAATGGATAGGTTGGGCCTTAGCCCAATTGACTTGCTTTGAGGGCTGACCATTGACTTTAGCACAATTGGAGAGTTGTACCTTGACCTTGGGCTTTTAATTGGATCATTTAATGCCTAGGCCCAATTGGACTAAATTGGACCCAAACAGGGTGTAAATTATTAATGTACTCGGTAGCATTATGCACATTATGCTCGCAACAAAACTCGTGAGTCAGTACGTGCTAGGAAAACAAGTTAAGAGGTTCTCTTGAGATAAGAAGAAGACTGGTTGAGTGAATTTGTGAGTGGAGAAAATAAAGAAGAAAATGTCCAGTGCTTTCTTTCATAACACAAGCAAATAGCTCAAAGAATCAACATTCTTCTTCATCCCTTCCTTCCAATTTCCAGTTCTCCCACCTGAAAACTGCGCCCTTCCTCCCAATTTGAAGAACAAATCAGAAGATTCAGAGCCAAACTCAAACTTTTTCAGAAATCGAATTCAAAGTCACTCGCTTTCAGGTAAATGGTTGTGTTATCTTGTTTCATTGCTTACATTACATAGTCACTCTTTCTCTATCTTTTTGCAGCATCTCAAATGTTGAACTAGGGTTTTGTTTATTTTAATTAATATCATTATTCCGTATTACATAGGAAACCTCATACAAAAAGTTCGATTTGAGGGTTAATTGAGCCCCCTATTAGATTGTTTACGCCATTGATGAATGATTTACAATTCGCATAAAACTGGGTTCCTTCTCCCAACTTTAAACTAGGGTTTTTGCTGAAATGGGTTATCAATTTGGTTGATGTATCATAAATGAGGTGACTTAACATTCTGGGGTTTTGGTGATGAAGGGGATCTTAGCTTGGAATTTGAACCTAGATACTACATAGTTTTAGATTCGAGTACTTAATAATTATGAAAGTGGACTTGATTTGCAGAGAATAGGAGTAGCTCATTAATTTCAGTACCAGGAATAGGAGTTACATGTGATTTTTGAATGGTTGTTAGGTTAATTGGACCTTAGACCTATGTTTCGGTTGATTCATCTAATCACATGCCTCGGTGTTGGAACTTCAACACTTTGATATTGGTGCTTGAACTCACCACTTCATTTTGAGTTATGTACAGTATTATAGTTGAGTTTGACAATTTTGCCTGTAATCAATATCTGCTACCGAGGTTGAGCAATCAACATTGTCATCTATAATTGCATGATAAGTGCCATGTGATAACCTTTGGATTTGAATTAAGGTTGATTTCCAACATAATTTGCGGAATTTGTCTTAATTAATTACAAGGGCTTGAGCTTGAGGAATATTTGGTAAGCATAAATGAAAAAGTAGGCACTTGCTAGAATGTAAGGAAATCTTTTGAAATTTCTCTGGCTGCAGCTCATGTCCTGGACTACTTAGTTAATTGCTAAAAACTGGAGGGGGGAGGGTGTTTTTGTCTTGATCACTTGCCTGCTGGTCATGCTAGTTGAGTTGAGCCTTTTTTTTTTTTTTGTTATGTGCTATATGAAAGGTGTTTATGTATGTTTACATAGACGTACAGTGTATTATTTTCTTTGGTATATGTCTCACTTTTGGTATTGTCCATTTTTAGACTGCAGCATGGTCTGTATGCATTGATTTTTCAAAGAGTATTAGAGGCAAGTTTGAGTGTTGAAAATATGAGTGCAAAAGTTGACACAACCAATGTTGAGGCACAACGTGCTGCTGCAGCTTCTCCATCTACATCATCTGCCACCGGCACAAAAACATCAATGTTCAAGGGGAAAGCTGGTTTTGTTATACCCAAAAACAAGTTTTCAGGTTCACTAGTTCCCATTTTCAAAGGTGCTAAAAAAACTGAGAGCAATGATGCCGCTATAGATGAAACTAACAGACAACTGCATAGGAAAACTAAGTGGAGCCCTGATCTTACCCAGGATACTTCTGTTAGGAGGGGAAGAGCTTTAGCGTATCAGGTACCAAATTGGGCTTTCATCAACCCCATGGTTATCTTCTTACCTTATTGTCAGTTTGGATTTTATGAAAAACAAATGTTAAAATGTTCCTTTTGAACCTCTGCATTTGAATTTTGTTTTTAAAAATTTTGTATTATTATTTTTGGGGATTACGTTTTCATAAAACAAAAAAAATAATGAGCAAAAATCTCAAGATTTAGAGATGGGTCGAAGACGATTATAGCACCAGGCTGTTTGAGGGAAAGGAGTCCTGCTTATGATGCCACAGGGATTGCCATTTCCTCACTTGGTGCTATAAAGTCCATCTCTTCCTTGTGACTGTTCACATAGAAGCTTCCCATTCCAGGTGCCAATAAGTGATAATACTGCCTCTGTGGTGGTACAAATTTTGGGCAGACTCGAGTGGATCAAATCACGCAGCTGCTGAAATCAGGATCATTAGGAAGTGAGAGTCAAGATTCAAAGTCAGCAAGAGATGCTCCAGACGGTGAGCTACCTACTATGCAGATTGAGTTCAAGGTACAAAATGTTCATTCCATATTCTTTTTGTTTTTTTTGTTGTGTTTTTGCTGTATCTATTTCACTCTGATCCATTAAACTCCCTTGCATGTCCTTTTTTGATATAGAAGCTGCAAAGTTTAGAACTTGAGAGACGAGAAGCTATAGGTATGTTGATTGCTTGACCTTCATGTTCAAATATTGTTCAAATATTCCTTCTGTTTAAGACTTAAGCTCGTCTGCAGGGGAAATACTGAAGCTGAATCCAAATTACAAGGCACCATCTGATTATCAGCCTGTAGTGAGGGAAGCTACAGTTCCTATACCTGTACGTCCAAACTTCGTTCTTGACACTTTACTAGACTTCCTTTTATTTTTACGCATGACTTCCTCTCTATTTCCTTAACTCCACCTGTTCTATGTATACTGAATAGTGAACCCTCTGTTGATAGCAATGTAACAGAAGTCCTTGATAAATTTGTATGTGCATTATAGGTAAAAGCACATCCTGATTACAATTTTCTTGGCCTAGTATATGGCACTGATGGTGAAATTCAGAAAAGATTGGAAAAGGTTAGTATTGTTGTGTTCCTGCTTTTAAACTTATCTTCTAATTAGCAAATTTGCTCATATTCATCTTCTATGTTTAATGTTCATATAAAATTTTGTAAATAAATGGTAAAATGTAGGAAACTGGAACCAAAATACAAGTTTGTGGCACAAAGCCAGAGACCAAGGAAACGGTAATATTCTCATATACAACATATGGAATCTATCTGCTTTGTACTTGACTTTTTTTACCCCTCAGTTTCTCAATTCTCCTGTCTTATCATGTTACTGTACTTAGGTTGAAATTACTGCATCTGATGGGAGTGATCTTATAACATCTTGTGAGGAGGTATATATTCGTATAACTTCGGACACTTATGAGAAAGCTGATGCTGCAGCTTCCTTGATTGAGTTGCTACTTAGCACAGTACCAGTGAGTTCCTAATTATGACCACTTTGCTTCCAGTTTTTTGTTTTTTATTTTTTATTTTTTATTTTTAATGTTATTATTTTTCCATTTCATCTATAATTTACAAAGCTACATCAGATTGCTTGCTCAAGTCATTTTGGCTTTTCAGGTAAAATCTACTGCCTCTACAACTACAGACTCTGTAACGGGAGATAAAGATAATGGGGGTCAGGACATACTTACTACTCATGGTATCAGTGCAGCTGTGGCAAACCAAGAACTGCAATCAGGTGCAGGATCTATACCAACTTCTTCACAAGGCCCTTTTCAGCCATACCCAAGTTCATGGTTGCCAGCAGGTCAATATAGCTCACCTTCTGGACTTGCACCTGTTCCCAATTCTATGGCTTTCCAGTTCAATCCCTCACTTCCACGTCCATTATTTGGACCTGGACATCCTGCTCCATATGGATTTGGTTCATCTCACCAGAGTTCCGCAGTTCCGTCCCCTAGGTTACATACATCAACACAAATTATGCCGGGCACATATATGCCTCCTGCTTATTCTGTTGGCCAAACTGGTCCTCCAAGGAATCTTTCTGCTTCTGCATCTCCATTTTCAACTTCCTCTCCTTTAGTAGGTCATCAGCCAACTTTAGCAGGTTCTTCCAGGCACCTGCCTCCTCAACTAGCTGAGGGAGGCATGACTCCTCCATCGACCTCCTCTGGATGGGCAATGCCTCCTGCTTCTGCTCCACAATCTCTTCTTTCTGGTAGCTTTCCTACAATGGGTTCACAAATGCGGTCTTCCTCACCCATGCCTTCTCAGGGCGTTGCACTATCACCACAAACACAACTATTTCATCCATCCTCAAATAATGCATTAAGACCAATGCAAAATTCTCTACCTTCATCCTCTGCACCTCATGCACCAAGTTTTACCCCCCTAAAACATATGGGTCAAACAGCTCCAGGGCTAACACTTCCGGGTTCCAGTGGGTTCACTTTCCAACCTCAACGACCACACGTGGCACCATCGCAGTCTCTCCCTGGACCAGGCTTGCAATTTTCATCTCAAAGACCTACATCAGCACCATTGCCTCCTGCACCACAAGGGCCATCATTCCGTCCAGCATTGCAAAATGCGATGCAGCACCCTGTCAGACAAAACTTCCCAGGTCCACCATTTGGTAATCAGATGGGCCCACGTCCTGGCCACTTTGGGCCTCCAAACCCAAATCAACACATGGGTCCTAGACACCTTGGTCCAGTTCCTCAGGCTCCAAATGCCGGTGGTCCTTATCCTCCTAGAGTAGGGCATCCAGCTCAATATCAGCAAAGTTATCCTGCCCCTTCCTTGAGTCGGCCTGGAGGCAATTTTCCTGCAAATATGCGCCCCAGCCCATCTGGCAGACCACAAGTTTATGATCCTTTTTCTCCTACTTCTATCTCTGCTCCTCGGCCTCAGGGAAATAACAATGGGGTTGCCAGGAAGCAGGACTCAGATCCTGAATACGAGGACCTGATGGCATCTGTTGGGGTCAAATAACCACAAAATTTGCACCTACAAGTTCCTCGTTATGCTGCATGGAGTGCTTAGAGCTGGAACAAATAAGATGGCTCATGTAGGATTCTAGATCTGCTTCTTTCTTTCTTTTAGGCACACTTCATCTATAAATGGAGAACTTGTTTAGCGTCTTGATTACAATTGCTTAATTTTCTTGAGATATGATTGTGATAAATCTACTTGATGTAATACCAGAACAGTTGGCTGACAGGAATTACTTTAGGCATTTTGGCAGGGTTATCTGATCTTTTCCCCCTTTGTTTATCTATTTGAAAACAGAGTGTTTCATTTCTTTAAACAAAGTTTTTATGGAGCTTAGTCCGTCTAGACATAGATAATCAGCAAATTAGTGGCCAAAAAAATTTATCCCGACATTTTAGCACAAAATAAAATCAAAATAACACTTGAATGATTTTTTTTTTTTTTTCTTTTTTTTTTTTGGAATTGAATGATTGTTGACACTACTATACGAAGTATGCTTTATATAATCTGGGGGGTTAAAACACTTTCATTCAACACGGAACTTCTGATCCTTGACATAACAGGTTGCTGCAGTCTGGAAACAAAGCAAGAGGATAATGAAAATAAGGTTGACCCGAGTTGCAAATGTAAACCATGTCAAGTCATTATTTACAAAGTTAGTTGCCTAGCTATAGAGAGGAAAATCAAACGGACGGGCTAGATCTGAGGACATTCTCTAATTTCTCCGCTTTGGCATAATCCTTCTCTGTTAGAGGTCCGGCAGGAAATGGAGTAATCTCGACAATGAGATGTGGCGTTGGGAGCTCGTCAAATAGTGCTCTAACATTGTTGCAACACACACTTTCTCCATGTGCACTCTCCCTTCTGATCTGGCAGCCCTGTAACACAAGAAATCTAATGATAAGGAAAGGCTAGAACATGCAGAAACGCATTTTATACATATGGAAGTCTAGAGGACACAGTAACTTTACAGCAAAAATTAAGCAATTTCTTCATACATAACTAACATTAGAAATCCCAGTGGACACAAGGTATATATCGTGATGTGTAAACTTTCCAACAGCCTACATCTATGGAACTCATACAGAGATATTTCTGTTCCTTGTACCTTATGTGAAGAGGCATCTACAAAGTGATCATCTTCAAAGAGCAAGGACGCAATAGCTTTTAGAAGTCGTCGCCCTTCTGGCTTGGAAGGTATCCTATAGTTCCTCCTTAGTGTTCCCTTTGTTGTAGGATGCCATTTGCTCACCAACTTTCGCTTGTCAGCAGCTTCTTTGTCTAGTAAATGTAGAAATTGGACACAATTTACTCCCTTGATCAAACTTGTGAAAAATACGTGCAACTTTAAATAGATAGACAGCTGTTGGCACAAAAGAAGTATGTTGAACTTAAACTGACATGAATTAAGTTCAATTATCCATCGATTATGATCATAAGATTAATGTTCTCCTAGCGTTCAAATGTCATGGCCAAGGTTGCTGGATAAATTTCAATAATCTTTTCAAATACGTTTTAGTTGCTCAATTCCACAGGCTAAAAATGAAATTTGATTGATCTAGATCAACAAGCCGAAGACAAATAAACAACTTGAAGGAACAAATTCGAAAGTCGAAGTTGGAGCAAAACTCTCATCAAAAGGCAACATAATTGTCAAATTAGCTTTGATACACCCATTTTAGTCACAAATCAAAGGTTTGGATAAAAAGTGAACAAACCTTTATTAAGCAACTGCAATTGCACACTCTTATTCAGCCTAACTACAAATCAGTAAATGTCCTTTAATCCTTTTCACATGCTACTTTCCACTTTCAGAGCAATGCAGAAAACTTCCAAGTTAACAAAATTAAGCACTATGTTTTCCAACATATACTAGTATAACATACCAAATTAAACATTCATGCCAAAAAAAGATAACAACTTTATACTAAAATCAATGAAAATACACACACCTGGATTCTTTTGGAACTTCTCCAACCATTTAGAGAACCCCAAATCAGCACCATCATCATCATGACTAATTTCAGCATCTAAACCTGAAATTAGTAAAATCCCAATAAACCCATCAGTTCAAATTGTACATAACCAAACAAAAAACATAAAAAATATTCTAAATAGAGAAAGTAAACCCAAAATTAATAACCTGAAAGTAGAGGGTTGGATTGAGATCCAGCTAAACCAGTCTTCAAAAGAGCATAAAATACACAAAGTCTACCAGCCCACAAAACAGGGTTCTCAAGCAAAGAAGCACAAATTGCAATTTTATTACTAGTAATTTTTTTACAATAAGGTTTGGAATTGATTAGATATTTGAGGGTTAATGTGTGTCCAATTGGAAATCCAGGAAGAAGGGATTTGGGAAGCAAAGTAGTATTAGTAGAAGCAATAGAAAATGGGTTGTGATTGTATAACTTGAAATGGGTTGATTGCAAAGATGAGGTGGTCTGTACTAATGGAAACGCCATTGTTGTTTTCTCTCTCTTCTCAAAATTTAATTGTTAATGGCTGATTTTAAAGGAACCAATTTTATGATTATAAAGAGGATATTCAATTTGGATCGATTTGAGCTTGGTGGGCCTTGAGTAGTGGATATTATTTTTAAATAGAACATTAGATAAATTCATAAATTATGATCAACACAAACGATGTAAGGTTGGATGAGAAATTCTAAGGGAGTTATTATAAACTAGAATTTCTTATGGAAAATCAAATAAAATAAGCAATTTTTGAGTTAAAAGATGAATAATATTTTATACATGATTTTGATTTCAGTGTGAAGTTAGTATAATAGAACCCCTTTGCCAATCCATATAGAATAACATAAGTCCAACGATTTCTAGTGGTGAATAATACGAGTAATGATTTACAACCTTTGTAATTGTTATCGGTTCTTGTTCGTATTATTATTTTTTTTTTTTCAAGTGATTATACCCTTGAGAGCATCATGCCACCCAGACGATATAAAGGTGCTGATGCAAATAAAAGATCACTTCTCAGGATGGAACGGCGATGACTGCTGTAATTGGGATGTTGTTACTTGTAGCGACGATGAAAATCATTTAAGCAGAATCACGGGGTTCCATCTAACTGGCTTTTTCGAAGCTAGTATAGCTAATGTATCGGGTGAAATTCCTAGGGTGATTGGTGATCTTCCATTTCTGGAGATTCTTGATTTTGATAACCTGCCAAAGCTTACGGGTTCAATCCCCGAAACAATCGCAAACCTCTCTAATCTCATGGTTATTACATTGGCTGACGTTAATCTCACTGGACCTATTCCTGAATTTTTAAGCCAGATTAAGACTCTGCAATCCATTCAATTTCTCAATTGTGGTTTATCAGGGACTATTCCCTCCTCTTTGTCGCTCCTTCCAGACCTTGGAGTACTTATTCTTAGCGGGTATGTACCTCTCTACCTCTTTTTTTTTGTTTGAAACGAATGTAGCTCTCTAGTCTCTACCCAGTTGTTATATATTAATTGCTGTAAAGGGGTAATTTTAAAGATATTATCTGTTAAAATTTTACATCGGCATGCGTGTCATGTCACTATGGGGCACTTAAAAAAACGAAGGGAGTAACTGTTAACTACTTTTATATTACAATGTACTATATTATATATTCATTGTAGCAAATACAAAATATACAAGTATTAACCTTGTGTTGTTTGTCTATATTAATTTCAGGCTCAAACTAAACGGTTCAATTCCGGAAAGTTTTGGGTCATTTAAGAGTGAGCTTGGAATATTAAGACTTGATACGAATGGGCTATCTGGTCCAATCCCAAAGTCTTTGGGTCAAGCAAATATTAACCAGTTATATTTGAACCACAACCAATTCACAGGAGATGCATCATTTTTGTTCACAAGTGATAAACCAATGGAGCGAGTCATCCTTAGTGATAATCATTTCAAGTTTAATTTCAGCTATGTCGACTTACCTTGGAGGTTGAACTATATTGACTTGTCTTACAACGAGTTATATGGCTCGCTTCCTAGACGATTAGGACAACTTCAATTGAGATATGTCAATTTCCGCAACAACCAACTATGTGGTAAGTTCCCCAAAGGCCGACGCTTGAAGCAATTTAGCCCTATTGGTTTTACCAATAATATGTGCCTTTGTGATGCGCCGGGATTACCCCCTTGCAACAAGTAGCTGCCCTGACTTATTTGTGTGTACCGTACACTCTTAATTAGTCATGTTACGTACTATCAGTTATAAGCTCCCTTATATGAGTAATTTGTGTGTAACGTACACTCTTTAAGTTAGACATTACTTTTACTTGATATGCCTTATGCTTCCTGCTTTTGAATAAGTTTTTTTTTCTTTCCTTTTTTTTTTTGGCCTTTTACGTCAAAAATCAATTACTTTATTTAGTATCTTCTATCTTTTTTACTTTCATGTGTATAGTTATGTTAATTTGTTCCCCTAAAAAAAATGTTAATTTGTTTCAAAATCAAACCTGCTTATAATTCAATTTTGCCTTTTGAGGTAATTCCCGCATTAAAAAAAAATGATTATGACGATTGATATTCCACGATATATAACTAAGTTGAATTGGGCTTGGGCCCAAAGCAATAAACAGCAGGCTTTATAATTATATGAAAGTATGAAAACCAATAGTCCAATCAACATAACTTTTCATTACCATAGAAATTTTAGAAAGCATACAAAAACTGTACAAGTAATACATTGTATATTTGTATTAGTATAATAATAATCAATCTAATTAAGACAATTAATTAAGATATAAATATCAGTTTATTAGGTCTGGGTAAAAAGGAACTCCTGTAGGAATCCACTCCGTACCGTTGATGAAATTCCTTAATGTCCACCGTTGGGCTTCCTCTGGAGTTATTGAGATTTTGCATCCTGGACATTTTATTCTTGCACTAGTACTACTGCCTGGCCCTCTATTCTTGTATTCAGCATAATAAGTGTTGTTCAGGGAAGTGATGTTGCCTTCCCAAGGCAACCAACCATCGGAATTGATGACAGTATCTAAATAGCTTTCCATCACTATTGTAGTGGAATACGGTTTCCATGGTCGACCTAAGTAGCCTTCTCCGGTCTTCTCAGGTAAATTGGGGTCCATACTGATAGTACAGTTTTGAATGACTATCCCACTCGTGTCATTCATTTCGGCCCTTCCTTGCGCCGTTATAACATCTTGTTGACCCGTTATGGGAGTACGCAAGAATAGGTTACAGTTCTGTAGGATTGCATGAGAATACCCAAACACAAAATCTATTGTCCCATAGATATTGCACTCTCGAAAAAAATGCCTATTTAATTGGGTAAAGAGAGTGTCTTGGTAGCCATCTAAGGTACAATTGTATAACACCGTTTTGTCAGCCACGCTTCTAAACGCTACTGCCGGTCCAGCTCCCGGACCAGCACCGTTAACAAAGGATATATGTTTGGCGACAAACCCAACACCTTCTACGCCTATAATGAAATTGAAAAAATATAAAAAATTTAATTGTTAAAATGAAAATACTCCTTTTATAGGTAATTAATTCTATTAATAATTAGAAATCCTACTATGCATACTAAATAGTAAACAATTATGCAACTCTTCTAAGAAGCCCATATCATTCATAGTCATAATTCAATAATAACAGAAATGTTTACTATCCCATTAGAAAGCCCATACTCAAACTTCGACCAAGCATTTATTTTATTTTCAGCAAATGGGCTTGTTGCCAAGAGTTTAACTTAAACTCATAATATAAACCCATTTCTGAAGCCCAAAATTTAACTCTACATTGTACACTGCAAATAATTGAATAACTCTCCAGCCATCATATTTAAAAAAAATAAATAAAAAAAAAATCATATACAATCATCAATTAATGTAAACTGCATTTAAAAAAAAAAAAATCAATTAATGTAAACTCTAAAGAGATAATTGACACATAAAACACAGTAAATATTTTATTTCCTACTGTATAAAATAAAGGAAATTCTAACTAACAAGTTTGATATAATTAATCGTGCAATTGTAATACATTAGGCTAATGTAACACACAATAGTACAATACATAAGAGCAAAAAGGATGAACTTTGTTACCAAATGTAGCTGAATCCATTGTACTCTGATTGGTCAAGCTACCTCCATTGAAGGTGATAGAGGTCCTATTCTTGGCATGCCATTGCCCAAGTAGTACAATATTAGTTTTTTCCTTTGGAACAACGACTTGGTCATAATAAAAATTATCTACCAACTTGATGTATGTTGGAGATGTGCTATAGTTTGGACATGCATTCAAGGCCATAGTTATAGTTTTGTGACTTCCAGGCACCTGAAATACTATTTGACCTCCCACTATACAACTCATAATAAGTAGTATTGATGTTAGTAGTAGAAACAAGGTTTTGTTTAGTTTTGTTTCTTTGAAATAAGGCATTTTGAAGAGAATGATAATTGCAAAGTATAACGCTAGTAAGAAATGTATAGGATGATTATCAAAGTATTAGTGTGTATTATATATATACACTACATTTTAAACACAAATAAAAGATAAAATATATATTCTTAAACAAAAATATTTAAGGAATTATATGTTATTGATACTAACTCTTCCAACAAAATACATTTCCTACAAATATTATGTTACCATTATTAACCGTATCATTTAATAATTTCACACTAGCCCATCATTATTGATGCTATATTCATCTGTTTATTGTTCAATCCAATTCTGTTGGACCATCAATGTATTTAGTCCGTTAGCTATTTGTTGGTCCATTACTTTGAGTATTGGACTATGCTAGTGGTAGTATACTACTAATATATTTGAGCATGCTAAGATTGCTAACCACTTAGCAAGTTGCTTAAGTTTAACCTATTAAAGACTCAGATAAATTGCTAATTATATTATTCTTAGATATATATAATCAAAACTATAATAAAGAGAGCATAATAGGTGTAACTTGTAAGAAAAGACATACATACATACATATAATATAGGATAGCTATAGTGGTTTTATTAGTTTTAGATGAACAATAATATACACTTCGTACAATAGTTATAAGAAAAGCAGGCTAAATAGTCAATATGTATTGTATAATGCAATAAGAGAAAGTAATGTATAGTTTTATTTCCTTATGTATAGTACAATGTAATCATTGGCGGACTTGGCCTTATGCCTGGTGGGTCAAATGACTCACCAGGGCCCAAAATATTTTTTAAGTTTTTTTTTAAAAAATAAATAAATAAATTATTTTCTAAGTTTTTTTTTTTTTAAAAAAAATACTAACTTTGAACCTTTTGTTAATGTTGTTGGGTTTTTGATGAAATGTGAACCTAATGCTTGTACAAATTTTAATCTTGTCAATTATTAGTTTGTTAATTATTAGAGAGCTAAGCATGTCATGTTGTCAATTATTAGCTTGTTAATTATTTGTTTGTTAATTTTAGTCTTGTCAATTTTAAGCTTGTTAATTATTAGTTAGTACTGTAATCTTGTCAATTTTCTATTTGGATGATCTTTGTAAATAATTTTTCTTGGGAATTTTGGTAAATTTTTTCTTTTTACATATTTGGTTATCAATTGTGACTCACCAGTCGGAAATTCCTGGATCCGCCACTAAATGTAATTGGAGAAAATTATATATAGTATTATGTAGAATACAATTCAACATAAGAGCAAATAATAGTTGTAACTTGTAAGAGATCGAAAAACACAAAATAACTATATAAATATGCCCCTTTTTTTTTAGCTATAGTGGGTTTTATTAATATTAGACGAATAATAATTTTTGGTTACATTTGTGATTCTTTTTCATGAGATGGGGATCATGCATGCATATCAACCAAAACTAATTAAGTTATCATGGGATCTTGAAACGGCAATTTGGCAAATGTGTCTTTTTTTTTTTTGTGTGTGTGTTATGTGATTGTGTACCAACTATGATGATTTAGCAAGAGCTTTTAATAAAAATATATAATTCCTCACAGTATGTAGTTACTCATATGAAGTTTGAGATTGTGTATAATCAACTTTTTGTACTTAATTAACTCTTATGTTATGAGCTTATGATTGGTTGTTGACTTAAATTATAACTGATAATCTAATTAACTAGCTAGTTTTTATGACAAAATTAACTATGTTAACGTTAAAGTTACCAGATGAGGAGATCATAAAGGACATAAGATTGAAAACGAAAATTAAAGAGATACTTCTTATATAGTATTTCACGTGCACTGCAAAAAAAAAAAAAAAAAAAAAAAAAAAAAAAAAAAAAAATCTGAACCATATTGAACTTCAAGAAACAAATGAATTTACACTTTCAGTATTGAAAGTGTAATTTAAAATTGATAAAATAATAGCTAATTTCAAACAAAATGATAGTTATACATGATAAATATTGATCATAATAATATTTGAAGATAAAATATTCAGGTGACATATTATTCGTATTGTTTCTTTATTAAGAACTATGGAATCCCTTGGATAATATAAGAAGGGAAAATATATCATCTAATTTCAAATTGTTATATGTTTGAAAAATTCATATTAATTAGTTTATTAGAGGCATTATTCGATTAATTAATTCAAGATAATTCCTAATTATTGGGCTAGAGTAAACATCTTATTAACTAATATTATGTTCACTTCACCTGGTTTGGTCCGCCTAAGTAAAGCAATATGTAAAACCAAAGTATTTATGTACGTAGTATTTTTCAACAAAATAATCTAGAAATAAGAGGCGTTCAATATAACTGGTACAATGTGTGTTAAATTTTCTTTTAATATCTAATCATATTATTCGATCTTCAGTACGTCAAGACTTAATTAGCTTTCCCAAGATTATTCATATGATATAGCATTCGTTTATTGTTTGACAAAGGATGAAGAATTGCTATTAGAGATGCTCTCTAAGGCCTCTAACCGATACAAAGTAATATAGATTATAGAGTAAACACTAAGAAAGATGTCAACTTAATTAAAAGAAAATTAAAAGTTAGAGACAAATAAAAAAATAAAATAAAATAAATAAAAAGAAGAAGAAAAAAGGTAAAAGGTTGCTTTTAATTTGTTGACGTCATGAGTCGGATTGACCAAATGCTTGAACAAATGAAAATGATCTAATTTTGGCATTTTTCCAATTTACCCAAAAACAAACTACTATATAATATTATAGATACTTTTCAAAAAAATATAATATTATATATAAAAATGTCATTATACGTTATTAGTATGTCATTGTGTCGCTAATCCCAGTTAGTATAACATGTACAAGTAACAACACAACTATTTTACAATTTGTAAACTATAGTGTTCATGTATTTACATAAGATATATCAACACCCTTTCGAAATCAAGCTCGGGGTCCACAAAGCGATCCCCATCACCATTTGCCATACTCCTTGGTAGATTATGCTAAGGGATCTTGTCAACGCAATCACAAAACTTCCTATTAATAAAATTAATTTCAGTTTAGTAAAAATCATAATAAAAACATATTGATGAGTACCTAGTAGTAGCAAGAACAAATAGAGATGAAGGGAAAATATATAATAATGATACGTGTATTTGTATTACCTTGGTACGCGATGCCAAGGATAGTGGAGAACAAAGAAATGAAGATGACTAATTGAAGGAGCCAATGGTACTGGCCTTCGACGCCCATGTGATCAGCGGAGTGGAGATGGAAGAGGAGTAGTTGTTGCCCAAATGCGAGGGCGGCTAGGAACTGAATTACGTCGTACTGAGCAGGGAGACTAGGGCCGCCCCGCTTGTCTAGGGCGAGGGCAAAAAACGCATAGACAAAGAAAGTGAGAGAAATGAAGGAGTGCTCGAAGTTTTGAAGGTGGTTCGAAGGGATGGTCCCGTCAGTGTCGAAGGGCTGATGGTTGTTTGGGCCAATGAAGAGCTCCATAGCAACGGAAGAGAAGCAGCCTATCATTATCAAGTAGAGTTCGAGGTACCGAAGATGGGGATAATTGGAAGGGAACCATAGAAGGGACTTGTATTTAGGTTCTTTGTTAAGTGCAAGTAACCTAAGGTGGTTAAAGAGGTGCCATAATCCAATGGCGAAGAACCCGAAACCTGGTAAGACGTGCCCGACTAGAGTGCCCATTTGAGGTGGTATTGGCTTGAATTGAGAGGAATGAAGCTAAGCTAAGGAAGAACGAAAGAAATAAGCTAAGTTATGGTGTACGTAGTGTAGTGTAATAAAGGAATAAGGGAATATATATATATATATATATATATATAAAGGGAGGGAAAGTTTAATTATAAAAATTTGTGTAGTTTTATATTGAAAAATACAATTGTAAGGGATTAGTGTCAATGATGGAGCATGCATTATATTATAATTGTAGTATTCCGGGAGAGTGAGAGATAGCTCAAGTGGTTAGAGCTCCCTTCCCGATTTTAAGAGATCTTGGGATCGATTCTCATCACCCGCCCTTGTGGCTCTCTAAGCACCAAAAAAAAAAAAAATTGTAGTATTCCGTAGTACGGAGTGATAAGGATTTCAAAAATAACAAAAAATGGTTTTTAATTATCCAATATAATACCTCATCATTAATCCACAATGAAGGTCATTTGATATGAAGTATGAAGATTACGGAGTACAACATTACGGCAGCAATGTACTACGGAGTAATTATCGTAATAAACCCCATTTTTGACATAATTAATGTAATTACCAAGACTAATGACAATTCAAGGGTAATCACTACATCGTACACCTAGTGTTATGCAGTTCCCATTATTGACATAAAGAAAATATTACTCCGTATTACATTATATTATTATATTAATAGTGAGGCCAGCTTAAACTAAATAATGAAATACATGATACATGAGGTTAATTTTTTTTTTTAAAATAAGAAAATTCTTATAGAGTTTAACTACTTTTCTTTAGATGATGCCGTTGAGCATTGTCTAGGACTCTAAGAGTGGATAAGGATTGGTATAGACGTTGAGTAATAATTACATTAATAGTTATCATATGCAAAATGTAAGATTTAAACATCTATGCTTTCCATGATATATGAAAGAATTGCTAATTGATCTTACTAGAAAATTAATGGTTAGCCATGAACAACATAAGTACATAACACTTCCTCTGTTTTTTTTAACCTTCATCACACCTTTTTGACGCACTATTTAAAAAAGTAAGTAGACTAGGTAAATGCATGAATTACACTATACAGTTTAAACACTACTTATTACATTCTTCTTATTGATGGCAAAATTTTCTCAATGGTTTATTTACATAATCTTATATATTTCTAAAATAAGTGTCAAAATGGTGCATTGCAAGTAAGGAAAAAATATAACACCACATTTGGATGCACATACCTAAAAAAAATATTTATTTCGAACTTATTAATGTAAAGTTATCTTTGAATTTTTTTTTTCTTTTTTTTTTTTTTTAATCAGCCGCCTCACCAACCTCACCCATCCGAGTATATTTTTCTTAAAAGGTGAATCCAACCAAAAAAAAGATCAAAGTAAATTTTTTTAATGTTTGCACACTACTACAAATGTGATCAACATCATCAGTGAAATCAATTCCCTTTTTTTTAAAATCCATATAAAAGAAATCTTATATTCTAAACAAGGGTTACTTTGATTGGGTTATAAGAGACCCCTTTTTTAAATAAGATGTTTCTTGATAAAAGAAACCTTTTATTCTAAATATGGCATTTCTTTGCTTGGAATATAAGAGTCCCCTTTACAAAATGAGAGGATCCTTTATTTACTCTACATGATAATAAGCCTGCTGCCATTTATTCAAATCTTTGAATCACATTGGTAAGCTGTCGTCGAGCCTACCAAAGATAAAAACCTAACTTGGTCTCTCTAATGGGTAGAAAGGGTAAGTAAGGGTCGATCCCACAAGGACTAAGGGGAGCACTAACAAATATCGATTTGTGATAAGCTAAGTCAAGTCTTTTTGGGTTATGAGTTATGAAGAAAAACTACAAACAATAATAAAGAGGATCTCGGGAAGGTATCCACCAATTAAGTCGTTCACAAACTACAATTTAACATACAAGACATAGCAATTTGGGGATAAATTAGGGGAAGTCATCTAAGGCACCCAACTACTCTCTCAAGCTAGAGGGATTACTTGAATCATGAATACAACCTACTCTCGTGGTTACAAAGCATAAAACAAGTGTTAAAGCATAATCACGATGACATAAACATTCCCTTGATCGGAAATTCCTATTCTCATGGCATTTCGGGTCAATCAAGCATAAGGGAGCTAACTCAAGTTCATCTCTCGATCCTTCGTTGAGAAAGCTTAGATAAATAGTTCTAGCAATGGCCACTTACAAGAACTAACAATGAAACCACTTAAGCTCAACTAATTAACATCCCACATTAGCTAAATCAACACATACAAACAAGTATTTGTGAATTCATCAATGATTTCAACAATCCCAAGTAAAAGAACTACTCACAAATCATAATAAATTGCAAAACTAAAGGAATTAACAACTAAGAACATGAAACAAACACTAATCTAACATAAACAAGTAATTAAGGATGAAAAGATACAAAAATAAGTAAATAGAATAACAAAATAGGAGAGAGAGTAAGAAATTCTCATTGATATTGCAAGGAGTATCCAAATCTTCAAGTCTCCTTCCTTCAATTCTTCATATTCCAAGCTTTCAACAAGATTTTCTCACTTTCTCTCTCTAGAAAATGAGAGTTTCTCTCTCTAAAAACCCTAACCTAAGCTAAAAATAAACTAAGAAGATCCCCCCCTTACAAATGAAGCTAAAGGGATATTATATAACCCCCAAGTAAAAGGACGGAGAAACCAAGAAACGGCCCACCTACAGGTCGGCACGGACGTGCCAAAGGTTGCACGGACGTGCAGACCTGTTAAAATGAGAACAATAGCTACTGCCTGACCTTGCACGGACGTGCATCAATTGGCACGGACGTGCATGAATTGGCACGGACGTGCATCAATTGGCACGGACGTGCAGCTTTTTCTGGCGAAACAGCTTCATTTCGAAAGGTCATAACTTCTTCATTACTCATTGGAATAAGGCATGTAAGCAGTCGTTGGATAGCTCTTGAGATTAAATTTAATCTCCAATTTGAATCACTTCAAAAACTTGAGTAGAAAAAAAGTTATAGTCATTTGAAGTTGACCTTAGTGAAAAAATCCTTCCAAAACCCTTCCAAATGCTCTTATTTCACTCTTGTACACTTTTCCTTACTTCTTTCATTCTTCCATAGCTCCCTTATTTCCTCTTCTTGTCTCCAACTTCTTTTCTTCTTTGTCCAAAAGCTTCAAAGTGCCATATTTATACCTAAATATGCACCAAAACACTAGCAAACCCGTGAAGCATATGATACACAAAAAATGCATAAAAATAGAGTAATTAGTGAACTAAGCATTGATTTCCCACAATTCTAAGGCTCAAAATCACTTTAAAATCATACAAAATAACAAGTTATCACACATACACAGTTTGGTTTACGTATACCCTTATTCTAAAGTCACTGGAATATTCAAATATATATACAGATAACATTTGACGTTAGAGAATATTCAAGTGACATATTCGAGCGTATTTATATTGCTTATTTCTTTGGTCAAAACTATGGAATCCCATTGGATAAGAAGCAAATTATATCATGAATTAAACTTTATTTTATATAGAATCATGACTATGTTCAATTCTCCTAATCTAGATAAAAGTATAGTAGCATGTAAGTAAAATAATTTGTACGTTATATTTCATTTAATATCCAAGCTAGTTCTTTAATCAAGAATTAGCTTTAGGGCCTTAAACCGTATAAATTTCTTGACAAAGGACGAAGAATTTCTAATGGAGATGCATGCTCTAATAACCGTTAATAAGCTAAGCACTACTAGGTTTAGTTAATTTAATTACAAAATGATTTATCAAAAGTCAAACATGTCATTTATTAATTATAAGATGCTTGTACAAAAACCATTGTTGAGAACAATTTTTTTTTTTTTTTCATCCATCGTTAGTTTGTCATTATTTGGCCTATTCATGTCACTAAAACTTGTGCAGTTAAGTTGTTGTGCAAGTAACTTTTGTTAAAAAAGAAATGTACAAGTAACATTTTCTTGGAAATAAATGTGCAAGTGACATTTTTGTAAAATTAAAAGAAATATGCAAGTAGTAACATTTAATTATACAAGTAATTATGACTTTTTTTTTTTAAAGTACATCATATCATTGCTCGGTCGGAGTTACACCGAGAACATATACTTGACTTCTTTACTGAAAACTATCAGTTTCATTCCTTCGAGTGATTAGAATTTGGACAAATGTTAAGTAATAATCAATTAGTTTTGCTCAACATTATAAGCTTTTGATGTGTATGTATATGTATACGTCATAGAAGCTTATATCCCAACTTTATATAGTTAGAAAGAATTCCAAATCAACTTGAGCAAATTATCTATTATAAGTTAAGCTAAGTCAAAGAGGTTAACTATATGCATACTACTTAAGGATAACATGATTCAAGCTTTAATATGTTGATTAGCTCTAATTGTTAAGAAAGTTGACATGTTAAGTGACTAATAATATTGAATGTCAAAATGATGAACATATATATTACCGATCCGAGTGACCTTTTAGATTTTGATATTCATAAAATGTCACACCATTGGAATTTGAATGTCAATATAAATTTCATAGCAAATTATATTAAAATCTTACCATTGATTAAAAACAATCACGAAAGATTGAAAGAAAATGCACATATATATCAATTGTGATTTTTAGTATGCGTTTATGAACACACATGCATAAGACATTAACATAAACAATAATTTAAAATAAGTGTCTGAGCAATGTACAAAGTAGAGTAAAAAATACATTAAAGGTTTATATATATATATATATATATATACATACACGTAGTATATAAATATAATTTATTTCACAATTCAAGTATTGTACTCCGTATCAACGAACCAAAGACACAAGATACATAATATACTCACAATTCTTTTTGTGCCTCGAGAACAAAGGTACGAGTAACACACGATGCATATAATATGGACCCCTAATTTGGTTTAAACTCTACCTTAAAATAAAAAAATAAAATAAAAAAGTACAACCTAACCCTTGAAAGCTACAAGCCAAGAAAATGATACCAAAAAATAGATGACAAAGCGTCCTTGTAATTCTTGATTTCTTCCCTCAGCAAACTTTACGAAACTTCCTTTTATGTTTAGCCTATCAATAATCTTCCATTATATCAGTCTAACATCCAAAAAGTATCATCACTAATCACATTTTGGGACCCAACTTAAAGTAATTCAAGTGTAAACTTGAGAAGAATAATGAAGAAAATCGAAAATTATACACAATAATATTCACCATCAATCACTAGTAACCTTCCTAAACACTATTTACACACAAAAGAATTTCATTATTTCTTTTGTACATACTTAATTGAGTAATATGACAGCTAAATTAGAACTGGCGGAGATGTTACCCATCTACATTTCCATATGATCAATAGCCTTATTATTACTATTTCCGGTCCCACTTACAAAACTATGCGTTTCAGTGAAATTTCCACCAATCTTCTGCGCTTCAACATCTTCTTCCTCTTGATCGGACAAAGCCATAGGACTATACTCCATATTATCCCCATAAATCTTCATCATAAAGACATAAAACGACGCCGCAAAGACCGCCAACAATATCAAGAACCAACTAAACTGAATGTTTACGAGCGCCTTAGCTCGATGAAGGGACTCCTTTCCATCACACCTTACCACTTGATGGCCTTCTTCTATATGCATGAAACACCCTTTTGAAATCAAACTCGGGGTCCACAAAGCGAACCCCATCACCATTAGCCACACTCCTTGGTAGAGTATGCTAAGGGACCTTGTGAACGCAATCACAAAACTCTCTGTTCATAAAAATAATTTTAGTTCAGTGCATAAAAATCAACCAATGTAATAAATACATACATATATACTAAGAAAGTCAAAACACATATATTAATAGAGACGAAGGGAGTACAATATATAATTATTTCACGTGTATTGGTGTTACCTTGGTACGCGATGCCAAGGATAGTGGTGGACAAAGAAATGAAGATGACTAACTGAAGGAGCCAATGGTACTGGCCTTCGACGCCCATGTGATCAGCGGAGTGGAGATGAAAGAGGAGTAGTTGTTGCCCAAATGCGAGGGCAGCTAGGAACTGAAGGACTTCGTGCTGGGCAGGGAGACTAGGGCCGCCCCACTTGTCTAGGGCGAGGGCAAAAAAAGCATAGACAAAGAAAGTGAGAGAAATAGACGAGTGTTCGAAGTTGTGAAGGTGGTTCGAAGGGATAGTCCCATCAGTGTCGAAGGGTTGATGGCGGTTAGGCCCGATGAAGAGCTCCATAGCGACGGAAGAGAAGCAACCTATCATGATCAAGTAGAGTTCGAGGTGTCGTACATGACGGAAGTTGGAAGGGAACCATGGAAGGGACTTATATTTATAAGGTCCTTTAAGAGCTAGTAGCCTAAGGTTGTTAAAGAGGTGCCATAATCCAATGGCGAAGAACCCGAAACCCGGTAAGACATGCCCGATTAGGGTGCCCATTTGAGGTGATGTTGGCTTAAGTTGAGAGCTTGGGATGTAAGTAAGAGAGAAATAAAGAAGCCAAGTTATGGTGTAATAATATTGTGTTGAGAGGAGCGTAAGGAATAAGGGGGTATAAAAAGAGAGGGAGAGTTTAAGATGTAAAAATAAAATTCAAAGGAGTCTAACTCTAGAGAGTTCTAAAGAAGTGAAAAAAATTAAAAAAAAAAAAAGCTAGAGTTGAAAATTTGAATGGACTTTTTAATTTGAAGTTTTAAGGTATTAGAAAGTGTTCTAGCTATAAGCTATGTGCATATGTCATGTGACTTGTGAAGGTAGAGGTGGCTTGGGGTTAAAGCTGAAATTAATTAGCTAGCTAATTTAGAAAGAGTTGACTAATGATCCTATACATATTTTTTTTCTAGAAAATCATACCAACCAAACATAATAAAAGTAAAACTCTTTAATGTTTTCACTTTGTTTTAATAAAATGACATTTTGCATAGTTTCAACAGATTGTATGTAGTCTAATTATGTAGACTTGTATTAAATGTCAAGGCCAACTTTCATATTAGATTGAGTTCAAATTCGTAGAAAAAGTTTTCTGTGATGTGTCAAGCTAATTTGGTTACACCTTTGTTTCTTTAATCTTTTGTGAAAATGATCTTGAATTGTTATTTTTGAAATAATTCTAGTAGATGAAGTGGATATCTAATATAAGAAAGAATGAAAGAAATTGTATTGTTGAGTAATGTAATAACTAAACGGAACTCTATCATGCATGCTGTTTAACTTGTTTTCATAAAGCAACTAATATGAAAATTTTCTAGAAGATATAGAATGCTTCCATGTTACACTACTCTGTAATTAATAAATCAATCATATTACACGTATTTAATTATACCTTTTTTATCTGTCATGTTCTGTTTCTATCAAATTTGTTAAAGTTGTAAAATCAAAATTGTCTTTTCAAGGACAAAGTTGAGTTATTTAACTTGAACTTTAACTACAAACCAATGATCTACGTATAAAGAACAAACACTTATATGAGATCTTGTTATAATATGTTTTCACCTAATTTCAAATAAAAATCACCAAAGAGTTCCAGTCCCCTCCCAATTGTTGTTGCGGAGGATCGAACACAGGTTCTCCCTACCAAGTGTAGTCTCAATCACCACTACACCAACACCCAATTGGTTTTTCTAAATAATTTAACAGCCCTGTTTTGTACACTTGAATGTATCGTACATCAGAAACAGCTCTCACATGCCTATCTAGAATTAAAATTTGGTTTGAATGAAAGTCACTTTCCCAATTAATAATCCATATTATTCCTATGATAATTAAGCAGAAACATTATTTCTTTCCGTCAACATTGTTTCTTTCCGTTGACCATGACATTCAATTCCACAACGGGCGCAGGCAAAGGATACAGCTTAACTACTTTTCTTTTTTCTTTTTTGTTTTCTTTTTTCTTTTTAATGAAAAAAAAGTAAAATTTGGTGGATATAATTCTTAAATTACGTCAGTGATTATCTAGCATGGTAGCTGAAGTAGAGGTATTCAAATTAGAAATTTCATTTTTATTTCGTAGGAGAATTCTTTTTTGTTGCATCCTCTTTCCAAGAAATAACTACAAATAGCTAATTAACTATGTTCCCAAATGAATTATGAATTGCTAGGTTTACATTTCGCGTTTGTAAATTCTTATTTTTAATCACAATCACCTCTTTCCATTGGTAAGTAAAAATTATAAATATATTAATATTTTAAAAGTATAATCAAACAAGACTAACACGCATGCATTGAACAGGATTCAAACTAATTTACTTAATGCAACGTCAATTTTTTTTTACAAATACAACCAACGAGAAATTAAACATCGCAACAAATGAATGGGAAAAAATTAGCCCAAATGCTAATAAGTGTTTCTTTTTTAAAAATAAAAAATAAAAAAAAATTTGCACAAGTCAAGTCAGAGAAGTCAATTTCGTTTATGAGAGTTACTCTAGTTTAGAAAATGAACACCATAGTCGATCTTCTTCCCGTTATTGTGTTTATTTTTGGATATCACATTTTTGTGATAAAACTCTGATCTTTTCTCCAACAGAATTGACCTCAAACTTGCAACCAACCTTAACATCAATTTTCTTGGTAAATAACCAAGTCTTTAACTTAAGAGGGATGTTCAATAATAGGTTTAAAACCAGTGCTTTTTTACGATTATTGTTGCTGTTATGAGACTGAGACACTAATTCCTTTGGCAACCCTCCTTTCGACGAAACTGCAAGAACCACATCTACTTCATCAGATTTGCCTGATTCTTGATTTACTAGCGCAGGATACGAGCCGTGCCCTATCGCCTTCCCTTTGTACATGAGTGTGGCGTTTCCTTGTCCATAACCGATATCATTCACACTATTTGGATTCGTTGCCTCCAAGGATACCTATTACAATCAACATTAGTATGCACTAATACAATAGAATTGAATACATATACAATAGGCTAATTTTAATTGAGCTAACATCATATCATTTGTTTTAAATCCAATATCACTTGTTTAAGGTCCAAACATATATTGATGGAAATTACATAATCTTTTTACATTATCTATGTTATCTTATGTCATTTGTGATCTTGATATATTAATTATAATATGTGTTTTCATGATATTTATAATATGAAATTAAACTAAGTATATTAAGGATAAAAGGTGTATTGTGCATTGGATAACATGCATGTAAAATATAACATCTCTATGGAATAAAACTACGAAAGGATCAAAGGAGTATGTGTTATTGAATTGCCTAAATGTTTGTACTTTATAATTTATAATTTTTTAATAATTTGATTCAATACATTGCTAAAAATATTGAATAATTATCGGAAATAAAATCATTAAAGATTGACCTCAAAGATTAAGCAAAAGTCAACTAATTCTTAGCCTCTATTGAAATTAATTAAAAACAAGAAAATCAAATTAAACATTATCTTCAAACTAAACATACATCACGAATAATATGCAATTTACACAAATTAAAGGAAAATTCATTCAATAATTAAATTACCTGTATTTTAGGAGAAGCATTCTTCTTAGAAGAAGGAGGAGGGTTCTTAATAACAACACGCTTGATAGAGAAATCAGGATTCTTAGGACTCAACGTAAAATGATTCACACAAACAATAACACTAACAATGAAGGCAACCACAAGGAATATAGACAAACACCAATACGCACACCGCCGGCGATGCCCACTTTGGTTGTTTTGCACCGGGTTCCGGTACTTTTCCACAATCCCGGCATTCTCCGGTGGCGGAACCCGGTATATTTGATCCTTAGGGACTTGGATTATGTACGTTGAATGAGGTTGTGGAGTGGAGTCTTCATGTTTTGTTGATGGTACAATTTGCATTTCCTCGTCTTCATTTTCCGTTACATTATTTTTTTCATGATAGATATTGTAAAAATCGTCAAACTCCTCGTCTTGATCCTCATTGTTCGTGGAGCTACGATTGTGGTCGTGGTCGTGATCATGGTCGTGGTCAGGGACCCGCTCCTCCATCGATAAAATGGGGAGCGGTGTTCACAATCAGGAATGAAATAGGGGATGAAATTTTGGGTTCTAACAATTAATGTATGAGATTATTATTATTGGAGCAAAACAAGGAAGGCATTGTAGTGTTGAAAATAATGTTATTATTATTGTGATTTCTCCTTTTCTTCCTTATGTTGGAATTGTATTGTTTTTCTGTCATGGTGAAAAATGATGAGGGTGGATAATGGTGGGAAATTATTGGGTTGGAAAAGAGAAAATTAGGGATGAGAGGTTCTTACACCTTCTAAATAAGTCGTCTTGTCTTGTTGTCAATTGTCACGCCCTTCCTCTCTATTTCACATTTACTACTTTTTTAACATCAAATATTAAATTTGACTCTATACTTTACACCTTTTTACTAACAACATTGTTACCGCGAGATTTTCCACAATATCTCTGTCAAAAAAGTATATATATTTGTCACTATATCTATATCAATAATCTAGCTAACACTATTTCATGCATTCAAATATTTTTATTTTTAGTAAATGGGAGTTATATACCGGTAGGTAATTGATCATTTTGATTGCAATTGTATCTAGACAAATTCAAATCAAGTTATTTCAGGTCAAATTTAAGTTATTTTGCTTCATGTTCAATCTAGAGTTTTTCTCCAAAAAAAAAAAAAAAAAAAAAAAAAGAGTTCAATCTAGAGTTAATGGGCTATATATGTAATATAATTTCAAAATGGGCCGGCACTAGTAAGCATCAATGATTTTTAACTCAAACATCCTCCTCGTGCTATAATTATCTATTGCATTAAAAATATGTATGGATCCAGATCAACCGGTTATGTAACTCTATCTTTTCATCTTACTCCTAATCTCCTATGCATCACACATAATTAATCTTGTACGAAATATTAATTAATAATAAAGGGTTTTTTTAGACATTAGCTCACTAAAAGAATTACTAATGAGATATTCAATAGACTAATATTTTATTTTTCACTTTGACTCGGTCACCTCAATTCCACTATATATACAAGTATATGGTTGAGATCAAAACACTAAGCACATTCCATTAGGAAAAATAATCAAAGTCCCTACCACACTACACCACATTATTATTTCCACAATGCAAAGTTTTCTCCAAATAACCACTTTTTCTCTCTTAATCTTCTTCTACTCCCTTTCCCTCTCAATACCAACCCAAGCTAGCTTTGATAGAACCATAGAAGATGAAGAAGTCCAAGTCCTTGGTTTAAACTTCAAGAAAGAAAAGCTAACTCACTTCAAATTCTATTGGCACGACATCGTTGGAGGGCCAAGGCCAACATCAGTCAAGGTGGTGAACCCGCCAAGGAAGTCCACCACCGCGTTTGGTGTGATGAACATGATTGATAACCCGTTAACGGAAGGTCCTAAACTAGGGTCAAAGCTTGTAGGACGAGCTCAAGGGTTCTACGCCTCGGCTTGCCAAACGGACGTAGGGCTTCTGATGGCCATGAACTTTGGTTTTGTGGAAGGGAAGTATAATGGTAGTACCATAACAGTGTTAGGGAGGAATATGGTGTTTAATAAGGTTAGAGAAATGCCTGTGATTGGTGGAAGTGGATTGTTTAGGTTTGCTAGAGGTTATGTTCAAGCTAGGACTTATACTTTTAATCTTAAGAATGGTGATGCTACCGTTCAATATGATTGCTATGTTATGCATTATTAATTTTGTATTACTACTTACTAGAAAAATAAATATTTTTAGTAAGTTAGACAATCAAAGATATTTGAAAGTGGTATAATGTAGCGTATACTTTGGTAAAAGTTATTGATAATATGTAAGAGTGAATCAATTTACCTATTTCAGGAATTGATTTATCAGATTTTAAGGTTATTGTATTGAAATTGAGTTTAATTATCATTTCAGGTATTTTGTTGGTTCTTAATAAGTCTGTGTAATTTGAAACTTAATATACGCATGGATTTAATCAAATTTAAATTCAAAGAGTTTATTCGGTGTGTTTCAAGTTATTAGCAAATTAAAATTTTGTGATTTCATCTAAAAAGCGCCAAACAGTAAGCACAAATAGGTAAAGATTCAGCTTTCTTAGTACTTGATTAACTTGAATAGTCGTAGTCATGATATGGTCCACGTTAATATTGATGAATGAGTTGAATGAAGCTTCAACAAGAAGCATCCAAGGCATCCAAAAAGTTAAAGACATGCTTAGTCAAATAATCATGGTGTTTGTAATACTTTAACATAGTATTGTTGTCTGAACAATACTTTATGATTCAGCAAGCTCAAATATTTTGTCTACATATATAGATCAAGATACAACAGAGAACAATCATCATGAGTCCTTGTAATTTTGCTTGATATTACCGTTAGGTGTGCCTAATGTACTCTTTTATAAACGGTCGCTATGAATATTTGGGCCCATTAGGGCTTTTGTTCCAATTATTTTGATTGAAATTTGATTTTACTCCGTATATGTAATCAATGGGTCAAACATATTTTTTCTGGTGCATATCTTGCTAATATCACTTCATATGTATTAGCTTAGCTTAACGCCTTAACCTTAGCTAACAAGCTAAATAAACCAGCCAATAATCAACTAATCGTTCATTAGCAAAAATAAATAGTATTGTATCTGGACTGTTATCCTGTTTTAACTAGTGGTAACCTCTCTTGAAGTCAATTCCAAACACCTAAATAAGTATACTTTGCTATCATTACAATTATATTTGGTCACAGTCCATACAATTTAACTTGTTGAAAAAAAAAACTTTATCATATTAATTAGTGCAGTAGCCATTAACAAATGTGCATAGAAAATGAAATTAAAGTGTGAGTATGTGTTTGACAATTATAGCATGGGCAAAGCCTTATTTTCAAAGACTATTCAAATAGTGGGTGGTTAGGATCACAATATTGAGGTTTGGTAGGATTACAAATTTACAATTATCAAAGATAAATAAAAACTTGCACCAACTATGGGAAACATTTACTTTTTTTTTCTTTCTTTTTTTCTTTTTTTTTCCTTTTTTTTTTTTGAGGGAATGGGAAACATTTACTTGATGTCACATAATCAAATTAATTAGTCACCCTTCAAAAAATCAAAAAAAAAAAAAAAAGTCACAATCTTAAACATGGCCTGGTATTGGGTTTACATCTTGAATCTTTGATCTAATACTTTGATAAAAGTTTGGGGCCTTTGGGCTCAGGCCCAAAATCCCATCTGGTATGGGTTGGCTTGACTTCAAGTTTTATTGACCAACAGCCCATTTTTATTATTGTACATTACTACCATTACTAATAGTTTTACTTAAGGCATGTTCTGGTTTATTGAAATGAGCTGAACTGAACTATATTGTTTGTGAGAGAAGGCAATTAGAAATCGAAATGAACTAAACTGATTGGAGCTGAACTGGACTGAAATTAAGCCGAAGAGAACAGACCTTTATTATTTCTTTTTTAAGATTCAACTAATGACCTACAATATTATCTTAGCTCTGTTTTCCTAAGTTATCCATATGATTAGATTGCAAGCCTTAACGAGTAAACTATAGTTTATCTAGAATGAAAATTCCGTATGCAGATCAAATATGTCATTCAACATGATGATTCTGTAATAAAATCAACAAGCGTAAGGTTTACAAATAATGAAAAATTGTTGATTAATTTACAAATTTCACTGTTAAAATACATTTTTTTGTTTATCAAACTAAATAAACTTGGACTTTCTCAAGTGTTCCCACAAATTGAAAGTAGGTACCAGAAGTAATGGGTTTGTAAGGAACTCTTATTATAAAATTTGTACCATTCACAGCTGCCAAAATAAAAATTAACCACTACCAGTAGTAGACGTAAATCAATAATAATGAACACCTACTCTCTTAAGGCCTGTTCTCTTCAAATTATTTTCACTTCAATTTAGTTCAGTCAGCCCCAAGCAAGCAAAAGAAGTCAAAAGTTACCGGTATAACTTTACTGTTATACAAACAAGAAAAAAGAAAATGGAGGAATTTCTTTAGCCACTTGCTCATATGATGATGTCTTCCAACAACAATATCAATATCTATCCAAACATCCTCCCTTCATAACTCTTCACCACCCACTTTCTCAATCAAAAACAGAGTTCATAAAAACAAAAACAGAGTACTAAGCTTAATTCTGAATAAAAAACAGATCCAAACCCAAAAAAAAAAATAAAAAAATTAAAAAAAAAATAAAAAAAAATATTAAAAATGGAAGATTTGATAGCTCAATTCAGCTTCTTATCAAACCAAGCTCTCAACGATAAGAGCTTTGATCCTTCAAACATAGAAGATTTAATGAAATTATTCGAAATCGAGGCGTACAAATCATGGGCAGCAATGGAGTTAGAGTGTAACAGAGAAGAAGAAAGCGCGGAAGAAGCCATGGAAGAAGCAGAGGCTGAGCTAAATTCAGCAATGGAAAGCGCAATGGAAGAGTTTACGAGGTTTCAACAAGAGTTGGAGACTGAAGCCATGGCTGAATATTATAGCTTGTTGAATTTAGGTGAAGCTTCTAGAAGGATGGGTAAAACTATGGAAACTGCTGCTTATGTTGCTTCTAAGAAATATATTGAAGGTGCTCTTAATTCTGCTACTAATTCTATGAAATCTGCTTGGAAAGGGATTTCTTCTCATAAAGTTCATCCTTCTTAATTACATTGTTCATCATTTTCAATTATTTATGTTTTTTTATCTTAATTTTAATTATTGTATGTATGATGATTAGTCAAGTGGTTTTATGCTTGTATTCAATAAGATCTGATTAAACTATGTATCTTCCTCACTATATCTAGATCAAAGTCATCAAACTATGTAATTTTAGTGTTTCATTGTAGTTCTAGACTTTTTAGTGTGGTTATTCGGATCTATGATCAAATTTCGTACACATCATTACCATTTTAAATCTTAAATCTTGGTATGTGAATAACTTAATTTAATAGATGTTAAATTAGTTAAATTATACTCATCAGGTGAATAAAAACTTTTTTTAATTAAAAAAAATAAAATAAAATAAAAAGAGTCAAGAAAGTCATTCATCATTCTTTTAATGCAAGTGGAACAATATTTCTATTTGGCTAAGAGTGAAGATAAGATCTAAGCTAATTAGGTGTTTGTGGGGTTTACTCCAATAAACTACAAACAATGAGCCAACGACGTGGGGCATAATATATTCATATGGATCAATAGTTATTAGTCTTATTACTCCCCAACTTGTGTTAATGTACATGTAAATTTTAGGAAAACCCTAAATTTTGTTGGATTGATCAAGCCTACCTTCCCCAAAGTTTGCTTAAAAGAGTTAAAATTGTTGACCATATATTTTCAAGAAAGGCCTAATCTTGTGGAAATTTAAATACCATCAACTTTAAAGCTTTTTGGATTGCACAAAAGTCCATACTCCTAATTACTACGGGCTATTGCGTTGTGTGCGTATAATAAGTACCGATAATTACAGGCGACGATGCCAAGCGTTTTTGAGATTATATTGAATAATTTTATACAATTCACAAAGTCAAATCTTGATAATTTTTGTTTTAATACAAAAAAAAAAAATTCTTCTCACAGGACTTCATGCTGCATATACGTATTGTAGATAGAACTTTTGCTTTCTTATGTGGGCTAGATGACGCATGAATGTCCATGTTCTTTGCACAGTTAAGGTTAAATGGATTTCAAAACGTACAAGATTAAATATCACCATTGTGTAACTTACGTTATGCATGGACTTATATATATAGAGAACTAAAAGTCACATGTTTGAGGTCAAGAAGCTTCATTAAAAAGGATTATGTATAAATCAGTTCATGCACTTGGGTTTTTGGAACAGTATCAATTGCACATAGATATTTGGTCAAGCACATTTTATGCGCATAATAAGACTACTGTATACCCCTCTTTTTTTCTTTTTCCTTCCAAATATGCTTTATTTACAATATACAAATAGATAAAGTGATAAAAAAAAAAAACTAAAGTTTGAAGATGGACCAGCATTTCCAGATAATGCTCCTCCCAATAATGAGTATTATTGTATTGAAAAATTAGCATAATTTTAGATCTCTTTTTCCCATAATTTGGTCCATGGTCGGTTGTACATGGCAAGTGGTCATTGGCTAAAACTAAATAATTACTGTGCATGAAAGAATCTATACCATTGAACTTAACACCGGCCTCAAAGTATCTTCATGGATCGGCATAATTTTAAAAGCAGAATTTCTTCAATCTAAGTAAAGCCATGACAAAGCCGTGTATTTATTAATTAATAGCATATTATTTCAAAGGTTTTAAATAATAAATTAGCTCGATAGGGTTACCTACTTGAGCAAGACAAGCCTGATATCACGCGATTTCTTTTAATTTAAATACTCCCTTCATCTCCAATTTTTTGTCCCATTTGACTTTTTGCGGTTTTCAACAAGCGTTTTAAAACGGTTATACTCCATTTTCACACGTGTAACAGATATATTGATTATAGATCATCGCTATTAAGTCACATCACATACAAAGACCAAACAAAGGCATGCATGTGATATGCTACACTTCTAATAATCTTAGTCCATTAGCTACCTTTTGTTTCATCCACTAATAAACACACATATAGCTCAAGCTAAGATGATTCAAAAAGGATGTGATAGTATATGTCTTTTGAGAACACTACATACTTAATTAGATTTGTTAAATATGATTACATGATTGAAGAGACAAATCTAAGATCATTATTACATTGAGGGATGCTAACTAATTACAATCCTTAGATTAATGGATATCTTATTTAATTTAACTTGTCTAAAACTAACATTTTTCTCTATTATTATGGTCATATGTCATCCATGCTCCTTACTAGATCCACCTGTGCACATTTGAGTGACATGACCCATCAAGAGAAAAGTCATGTATATGCACCAAATAAAGTCATATCGCTAGATCCATGTAGTATGCACTAAGAGAAATTATATTTATTACTCCATAAAATATATATAACGAGTGTTTGGAGTAGGATCACAACAAGATTGTTTGGTAGTTACCTCATGAAAATGACAATTGCAAATTAAAGTGACCAACCCAATTACACTAATTCACCTCAATTATTGAAATGAATTGAATGATATGGTAAACATCTACTCCTTATCAATTTCTAGCTTTGTACGTGCTGATTAATTCCAATAGTAGTGCATCTCATCCACCAATTTTGAAATGAGCGTGGGACATAGCTTCCTCCTAAACCCAACACTTAGCACACAATTATTAGTACACTTATTTATCACTTAATTAATTATGCACCTCCAATCAAACAACATTAATTAACTTTATTTTTCTTTTACTATTATTATATCAAAAGATACTCACTCTGTTTCATAAACATAATTTAATTTATTGAGGGAGTATCAAGTAAGCTATTGTATCACTAGAAGCAATTCCCCTACTTTTTGTTGTATATAAAAGCATCTCCCCCATTCTAACTAAACCTCTCTTCTTCACTCTAGAACCTCTTTACTTTTTCCAGAACAATTCCATCCACTTATTTTTCTTCCATTTATATACAACAACCACACACAAAACTTTTCAAAAAAAAAATAGCTTACATACCACAAAAAAAAAAAAAAAAAAAAAACATTCAAAACCCTATATTTCAAAATAAACCATACTTCATATATATATTCATAAGAGTTTGAATAATAAAAATTACAAAATATAGTTTTAATTATGGCAAGGTATCAAAACTCCTACACACAATATTTGTCACCTCCACCAGTGCAACTATGTTTTTTATTCATAGTTGTATTTTTCTTTCTAGGATTTTCATGGTACATAAACTATGAATCAGTATGGGAAGATTTGATGGATCAAGTGAAGCTAATACTGATGGTATTCCCTGTAATTCTTCTGTTAGCAGTCCATTGGCTATCGAGCTACGAAGATCGACGTTTGTTGATCCCTTTGCCTGAACAAGACTCCATCCATAGAGCTGGTGGTTCACCTTGGGGTGTAGGAATTCTTCTTGTGTTTCTCATGTTTATGATTTCTTATCATACTTCTATTAGGGAAAGTTGGTGGCCCTTGCTTAGCAGATGATTATCATCATCATATGATTGATGAGTATATTAATTATTAAGTACGAGTAATTAATTAGTGTATAATTGTTGTGTAGTATAAACTTTTATTTTATATTCCTTTAATCAAGGCTTTTGTTATATATATTTAATTAACGAGCTAGCGTACCATAAAGTTTTGTCATGTATTTGTGTATTTTGTTGAGTAGTAGGAGGATAAAAAGTGAGGTATTGATAGGGTTAATTTTGTTATTTCTTCGTGTAAAATCCTATCTAGTAGTTGTACAAAAATAGTGAAATCATGGGTCTCAATTATTGGGAGTCTTCTTGTGTGTTATAGGTGGTGTATGAATGAATAAACTTTTTACAGCTTTTTATATCTTAGCTTGTTACTAGTTTTTTATTGGGAGTCTTTTGTGATTACTTGTTCCCTTATACTTATGAAAACAATGATATCATATCATAAAACATACAAGTAATAGTAATCTTAATCTTATATGAATTGAAGTACGTACGCGACGTGTATGAGAGTGAGGGATAACTCAAGTGGTTAGAGCTCCCCTCCCGGTCCTAGGTGATCCTAGGATCGATTCTCATCACCCGCCCTTGTGGCTCTCTAAACACCAAAAAAAAAACGAAAAACGTACGCGGCGTGTATATGTGTACTACTTTAATAGTTTAATGTGCATTTGTTTATGCTAAACTCTATTTTTGGTGTTTTATTAGCACATAATGCGCCTTGTATTATTACTTTAGGTTAATTGCAATTATGCTTCCATAAACTCGTTCTCAACACAGTTTGAGAGGTATTAGAAGCTGAGATAGAAAGACTAAATCCAATTCTAATCATTAATTAATGAAATAATAATAATGATCTCATAATTAGTTGTTCCTAATTACTAGCAGAATACTTAACTCCCAAGAATGGAATGTGGTGATCAAAAGTATTCTGATTCCTTAAAGCACTCAGGAGAAAGCTCGATTATATGGCTTTTTAGCAATTTCGGAGGTCTAGTTGGGACCAAATTATAATGGGTAAGTGGGAAAGTGAGGCAATATATAATAACTTTTCTTTTTTATAAGCCAAAGTGGTGGTAATGGTTTACACCTAAAGTACCTAAAATGCCTTTTAATTTTACTTATATTTTATAAAAATGCATTGAGTATACTGTATAAATATAACAATTATAAGTATCGCGTGCATATAGATCTAATATGTAACAAAGATTAAAGTAAGTCAGATCAACAAAATTATTTTATGTAAATTTATTTCATTTTAATATTTTTTGCGGTTATGATATATTTTGTAAAAGAATACCGTTACACATCAAATGATATTGGAGACTCGAAGCGATGATATTACCATGTTACCGTATCTAGATTGTTATCAAACATTATGAGATTAAAGAGAGTGAGGGATAGCTCAAGTGGTTAGAGCTTCCCTCCCAATTCCAGGAGATTTTGGGATTGATTCTCACCCCGCCCTTGTGACTCTCTAAACACCAAAAAAACATTATGAGATTAAATCATAAAAACAAAGTGTTGCAAGTAATTTTTGGTTAACCTCTTTCAACCTCTTTATGTCGTGGGCTACTAGGAGTCAGG